TTCTTATAATTGACATTCCCAGAATTCCCTGTGAGACATTGTACATTTGTTGGTTATTCTTATCAGTTATGTACATTAGGGTTTTGTTAAATTACTGTTTATTTTATTTAGTGTCATGTGTGTTACCATGAGGGTGTTTTGTATTTGTGTGTATTACACGTTCACTTTCTATAGTATTTAAATCAGCTTGTGGAAAAGCTATTTGTGATGAGAAAGTGACAATGAATCAAAGCTCTGGTGGTTGTCAGTATATTATAAAGGTACAAAACAGATTTTACTACTTTAGAAAGTTGGTATGTTAACATCATATCAGTTAATGAAATATACGTTTTTTACTGTATATTTTGTTTATATATATTTTTTTGTGATAGTTACAGCTGCCGTTTTTTTTAACAGTAAATAAAAAAAAAATTTACAGTGGGTGTGCTTCTTGAACCTACCAATATGTTTTGCTGAGATACTGGAAGTAATACATGTAGCAGCCAGTGGCTGGATCTTGTGCGTATAAAGCCTCCCTTTGTTTGGCGTCCGTTATCTGCAGCAGATCTCCATGATACTCCACTACATACTGGCCTTTCTGGAACTTCTGGGTGGCGAAAACTCCCCTGCCCTTTCCTTCAATGTATCTGACCTGTCAAGAACAACATGAAGGTACGCTTGCGTCCATCCAGCAGAGTTCATCATGAAACTGAATTCATCATGTCCAAAATTACCATCATTCCATTCTCAATCCCGTTTGTGATCAGCATGTCTATGTGCCTCTTCTCTTCACACTGTTGACAGAAAACAGGCATATGCATTAATATAACTTCGGCTGATATAACACCTAAGAAAAAAAATTAAATCTGAGCACTACCTTCAGTTCACTTTTGCTTTTTCTGGCGCTTCTTCTGATTGGGTAATAATCTGTAACCTTTCGGCTTTGAGTGCTCTTGGTATCAGCACTGCGAGACAAAATTGATTAGTAATCCAAAAATGTCAAGGAGGAGAAATACGGTAAATATGGTAAAAATAATAATTATGCTGTAGATATTAATAATTATTATTAATAATAATAATAATAATAATAATAATATGCAATAATAAATCATTCAAAATATATATATATTTTGAATAAGATTTTTACTATTTGTTTTCATTTTAATTGGTTAACATTTTAAGAATTTTATTGTGTTTTTTTTATTAGTTTTTGTAATATTTTTAGTTTTTAAATGTGAGATTATAGTTTACGTTTTGGTTTTATTTTATAAATGAGAAATAGCTGAAATGTAAGTTTTTTGATATTTTATTTTCCGTTAATGTTTATTTTTATTTCAAGTAACGAAAATATTTTTGTTGTTTTAATTAATTATATTATAGTTAAACAGGTATTTTTGTAAAATATATAAAAAAAATTATCCAAGTCATTTTATATATACACACACACACACACATATATATATATATAAAGAGGGTTAACAATGTACTTACTGAAGCAGTCTTACAATAATTAGTTGCATAATAGGACTAGGTGTTATGATCCCAATATTCAGCACCATTTAGCCGCACCATAGAACATTTTCCCTTCACCATTCAATAAATTAAATCGTCATTACAAAAAGCTAGACAGCAAAGTTGCTCGTCTAGTTGCTGAACAAAATTGAAAAAATTAATTCCTTCAATTTTTAGGCAAGTACATCATGTGACTTACATTCTCTGTGCGGATTTCTTTACTTTAACTTTGCGACAGGCTCGTTTCCTCTGACTGGGGGAAGTGATGTATGAGGCAGTGCAGTGCAGCTGATGTGTTTTCTCCTCAGCTCTGTGCACTGAGTGCTGCAGCTCTTCATTCACAGCCATTTTTGGGAGGATGAACTCACCATTCACAGTACTGCCTCTCCTGGCTGTAATACACACAAATTAATGACTTTAATAACAACAAATGCAGTGAATGTGATTAATGTCAAGACAGAGAGATAATGCATTTATTTCCTCCATCCTTACAATCTCCATGCTTCTGTGGCTCATTTTGCGTGCAGAATAATCGTGAAGTTTTCCCGTCCTGGATGAGTTTGACAGCGATGGCTTCATGATGCTGTGATTTAGAGCTGCTGTGCTGTAAGAGACGGTGAAATGGCGAGTGTCCGTTGCATATGATGTCCTGCAAAACAGTGAGATTTAGAAAGGAGGTGCCCACTGACTTGAGCTTTCTGTGCGTCTAAGCATAAAGTAGTGGCGTACATCATATTTTGTTTTATGGGGCAGAAAATAATATGCAATGGAGTAAAACGTGGTCATGTATTAGGTTTCCAATTCAAGTACCAGACATGACGACAGCACATTTTGTAGTCAAAATTTACACACTGTTATAAAGAAAAAGAAAGAAAAAAAAAACAATAAATGGACCTGCACACATGGTGTATATTATTATTTTTTATTTTTTAAACCCTACATTTAGTGTAAATATTTTATTAAATTCCTTTGAATTATAATTCGAATCAATTGTAATTTTCACATATAATACAGTATCAATTATATAGTATTACACTTTTGGTAAAAACTGTAGCCATTTTAATTTTATTTTGCCTTTTTAGTAATTTTGTTGTGCATTTTTATAATTTTTTTTACTAGTTTTGTGTTTTTAAATGTCTATTTAGTTTGTAATTTTTTTTTTCAATAATTTTTTCGATGTTTTAGTACTTACATTTAAACTAAAGAAATATGAGAAATGTAATAGATTAAATATTTTTTTTATTTGATTTCAGTGTGTTTATGGATTTAGTTAAGAAAATTATATATATATATATATAAAGGTTATATGTACACAAACACACACATATATGTGTGTGTGTGTGTGTGTGTGTATATAGACAGACACACACACACATATACATATATATATACACACACACAAACACATACACACACACATATGGATATACATATATGGATATACATACATATATATATACACACACACATACATACACATATGTGTGTCTATCTATATACACACACATACATACATATATATATAGTGTGTGTGTGTGTGTGTATATAGTCCTATTTGTATGTGTGCACTGGAAAATTTATTTACCAAGGAAAATTCCTTGTGTGTGGCAATCTTTCTCCTTCTGATTCTAATGATAGATTATAAATAATGATAAATAATAAATAATTGTGAAAAGCAATATAATAGCAATAATAAATATTTAACTGGAGGCGACTAACCAAATAGTGTTTTTCAAAATAACGAATATCTGAGTCGATCGTAAACTGCATAACATGTAATTATATTGCTGTAACTTCAGCATGTAATGGATAGTTGCTGAACACGCCCACACTGGGCCTGTAGCAGCTGCGCTCGCGCGGTTTATAATGTTGTGCACCGCAGCGCTATTGTTCTTTTATCTGCTTTAACGTCACAATCAAGTGTCCGAACACACACAGATCATACACCACACTGAACACAAGCACAAAGCCACATCCATTCACACAGCTTATCAGACAGGGACCCGCACCAGCCGGTGGAGCTGGTGTTTCGGATGGAGAGTTGAGGATAAGAGCAGTTTATAGACGCATCCGAACCCTGTCTGCGATCAAATCATCCTCATCTGCGAGGAAACGCCGTGTAACGTTAACCTACCCCGTTCATTTCAGTCCACTCTCTCTCTCCGAGCCTTTTGTTTTGAGCCGATGGTCCAGTCCAGTGTTTTCTCCTCTACACTTCTGTCCTTCTAAACGGCGTGAAACGAGGACATTCACAAACAGCTCCGTGTTCACGACGGGAAAAACAAGAAACTTTCGAGCTGTTCTGATTAATACTCCTACATCCGAGCTAGTTTCTACAGTTTCACGCCGCCATGTTTGCACTTTTGTCTCATTCACGGGAGGAAATCATGTGAGCATTTAAATAACCAATAATGTTTGGAGGTTGTGTTCACATTGCCCGGAAGATGGGGCTGTTATGCGACTCATTCTTCCTGGTTTAGTATTTTTTATTTATTTATTTTTATTGTATTTTTTTGTGAGGAACATATTTATATGGTAACATCCAAATGCTGCGCCATGATATACAATGAGGTTTAAGCCATTTTGATTTACATGGAGGATTGGTTATTTGGTTTTAACAGCTTGTTAATAATATAAATCATTTTTTCTTAATAATAAAAACATATTAAAGGACCTTACAAAAGGACTAATAATTAATTTATGGTGTACATAGACATTTTGAAGTGTTGGCCTTGAGTAGGCTACTTGAGTTTATTCTGTGTGTGTGTATATATATATAATACATCCTCAAAATAAATTCGAAGAGCTTTTAAAAAGGTAATAGTTTTTACAAATTTAAGGTGTTTTCTTTTATTTCTGTAGGAGTTTTAAGGTCAGTATTGCAAAATACAAAATACAATAATTGTTTTGTGATTCTATAGGAGCAGAAAGTAGAAGCCTTGCAAAATAACAATAAAAAATCAATATATGTATACCACGTATAATAAATAATAAAATAATATAAAACATAACATTAGCTTTTTAAATATTAATTATTTGTCATTAAAAAAATCCTAAAGGTCCTTAATAAATATCTTAAAAGGCTGAATTGAAAATTCAAAAACAAAACCTCAAAAACCTCAATGCTTTATAGACATATTTTATTTCACATGCTAACACAGGTATATTATGTCCATATAACACATAACAGTTTGAACTGTTGACGTTTTATACTTTTCACAAGTTTAGGGTGCTTTCTTCATCTCTCAAAGAGTTTTGAGGACACTATTAAAAATACAATACACAAAGATTTTTTTAACGATGTTCACATTTTGTGGATTTAATTGGTTGAAATAATTCATAGATTTAAATGTTCAATCTTCTGATATATTGGTTGCTTTCAACCTTTGTCAAACAACAGAGGTCAGACTCTTCTTTGACCTCACCAGTATGGCTTTGGCAATCTCATTCTGACTGTCATTGGAGGAAACTATTTCTACCGCGTCACTTCCTGAATGTGAGTCAGGGAGAGGTCACGTGACAAGGCTTCGGCGCTCTCCTTCTCCGACTACTTTTGATTTAAAAATATAATTAAGCATCTCGATTAATATGTACGGGCTCCAGTGTTTTCTGAAAGATGGTCGTTGGTCGGCTCTCGACCGATGCTCCGCGACGCGTCACGCGCGTCTCGTCGGGAACATTTTTGGACACGAAATCGACTGTTTTGTGGGCTGCAGCGTCACGTGACCCGCACGCGCCTCGGCTAAAGATGGCGCCCGGCGGTTAGAAAACAAGCAGCGCGAGCAGCGGCGACATCCTGCACTCCGCCGCGACGTTTGGGATCCATAGAAACCGAGTGGAGTAGGTGTTTGCCTCGCTGGACATCAGCTGTCCGACGGCGGGTTTGCGCTGTTTCCTGTCACGCTCACAGTTTTGGTCGGTTTAGGGCCGCTGTGCGAAAGAATACTGAGTTTTATTGCGTTTCGCGCGATTGCTGAGGGAGGCTGCTAACCTGAGGCGAGCCGTTAGCACACTTTTGACAAAGTCACTGACAGGAATTATTCGTTCAGATGTCACTTTTTGGCACTTATTGTGCTTGTCAGGGTCCTTTGGGTTTATTTAAACCCGGGTATAGCCTGTGTAACGAGCGGTTTGACTCCTCTTTTGATATTTAAAGTTGATTAAACGAATCGTCAGGAAAATTAGCTAGCAACTAACGTTACCGTCACCGAGACTGAGGTGTGTTTCAACATATTTTTGACTAGTGAGACTTTTTTTAATGTTAAAGCGTATTTATATTATACGCTAATGTTATAAAGTGTCTTTAAACCACGATCTGTTACTCGGGGAAGCATTTAAACGTCTCCGCTGAATATTTAGGACTCGAGAGCTGCACGTTTAGTGCACCGGCTGTCTTATGTTGTGTATTCACAACCACCAGATTACACGACAGGGTATCGTCGCTGTTTAATTTCAACATTTTGATCATTTCGGAAACCATTAGAGTGTTCTTTTGCTTTTAGTCTGGTTTCTGAACGTGTAAGCTGATTGATATTAAGATCCAGCATCAACGGCAGACCAGGAAGTATCTTGTTGGATCAGTTTTGTCAAACACGTGTGGAGGTGGATGTTGTGGTGAGCCGTTAGCAGCATTAGTTTAGCACGCTGTTATTATAACCAATTAGTGTTGTTTAGGTTTATATAATATGCGGTGTTCAGCAAAGGTCTAACATTAGTATCTTCCAACAGCATGTGATGGGAAAGATGTGATCTTTAGTTGGGGTTTTTGTCATTGTCTATAATAATGATGTGTGTAGTTTAAGAGGACGTTTACTTATGTCTGATGTTTGCAAAGCATAGTCTCTTTATGATTATTAATATTATGTTTTTCTCTGTCTTTTAGACAATGGATCCTGGACAAGATTTGCTTCTGGCTGCTCTTAGTGAAAGTGGAATCTGCCCTAATGATCTATTTGATGTTGATCCTCAGGACACACTTCCACTCCCTGCTTCACAACAGGTCATTTTAAACACATACATGCAACATGGTTTACTCGTTTTCACGCAGTTTAGTTTTTTCCCCCCTTAATTCAAAACCAAGTACTGTATCTGTGTACTAATAACACAGATTTCACAAATCCATTTGTTTACGATATCAAATAGTTTGGATATGTATCAGGTACAGTGCAGGTGAATTTTTCGTAAGGAATAAATCACTTAACTAAAGCTTTTAACTATACAGTGAACCCTTACAGTTGGTACGATAAGGTTAAAATTAACGTCCAAACTATTACATTTAATTGCCGTTTAGTTTCAGATACATAATTAACATCAAATAAAAACGGAGTTGTATACAGAGATTTCAACTGCACATAAGGCAGTTTTTATATACACTTCTTAATTATGTAAAAATAGTTTTACCTCAATTTGTTGTTGAAATATAAACATTTGAACTTGTTTTACTGGCAGATATATTCAAACCTACATTAAATATTGAAGAACATATAATGATTGTCATATTTTGCATATTTTTAGCAAAATGCTCCTCTCTTGAGTTATTTTTTTTAGCTAAGTAGTGAGCCATGGACATTGAATGGCTTTCCTGAGGTAAATGTAGCTTTGTGACACTTTTCCGTGGTTGAAACACTGGATTGAGTGATTACATATCTTCTGATGATCATTCATGTATATTTTGTGCCATAACTAGTAGTAAAGAGAAAGAGATGATCGGTTCACATGTTTCTTGAACTGAGGCGCTACAGCGATCTGTTACAACATATTAAAAAGCCCCAAAACCACATTTATTGTTTGAGTTTTGTGATAAAATTAACATAATTTAAAAGCTGAGATATCAAAAGCAACAAAGCACAAATCTTATTGCGCTTGCAAGATGTGAGGCTCGCTACAAATAACGTTTAGTGAAGTGTTGTTCACGCAACAATAGAAAACAGCATAGATTGGGATTTAAGAATCAATATTGGTTCATCAAAATGATAGGTAACCCAGACCTACTAAAAACAAAACTCAAAATTAAAAGCAATTTAAAAGCATTCTTTCTCAAAGTAGCACATTTGATTAACAAGTGATAATTGAGTCGTTCTTTTCCTTTTCAGTCAGTCTCATTAAATGCACTTGACATCGGTCTCCGTAATGAAGCTTCTGGAGTTGTCAGGGTTGAACCTGCAGTTCCACCTACTCCTACAGTCACAATCAGGGTAAGTGTTGCATGTAGCATCACTAACAGCTAGGGCTGTGCAAAAAAATCGCATGCGATTTTCATGCACATCTCGTCAGTAAAGACTCCGCTCCTTGCAGTTCCACCTACTCCTACAGTCACAATCAGGGTAAGTGTTGCATGTAGCATCACTAACAGCTAGGGCTGTGCAAAAAAAATCGCATGCGATTTTCATGCACATCTCGTCAGTAAAGACTCCGCTCCTGTGATTAGTAGTAAATCTCCAGCACGTGCTTTCAGATGGAGCGGCATTTACTACACAGAGCCGTAGTTCACTGACAAGCTACACAAAATCGCGTTCAAAATCGGCAATGAATTGCCTGTGATTCTGAAAAAAACTGTTTTTTTTTAAGTATGTAGTTATTATTAATTTTTAAGTTTAAATGTTAGTTATTTTGTAGTACACAAGGTAAACTAAAATGAAAAATTTTGCCGTGGCAACTGGCTAAAATACGTTTTTGTTTTTTCATTTTAAGTTAATGTCAATTGATTTTATTTAAAGTAAGGAAATGTTTGTTTTATGGTTTTAGTTGTAGTTTGCTTAAGTTAGCTATTATAACCTTCCAAGAATTGCCCACTTAGGCTGAAAGGCCTATATGTTTTAAGGCAACCAACCAGAGTTTTTGTTTTTAGTTGCCGTTTAGGACTGAGTTTATCTGTATTATTTTATACCCAATATACAGATTTTTCCACCGGAAATGTGTCTGAAAATAAAGCTCAATATACAGGTCTGCTCACTAACTTGCAACTGAGTGAATCAAACGGAACTGAATGTTTTTTTGAACAACAACAACAGAAAAACACTTTGCATTATTGACGGTGTTACCAGTGTTAAACCGCAACACCGGTTACATCACTTGCCCTCCACCATCTTTTTGATTTTTTTTTTTTTTTATAGTAATAAAAATCATTTAGTTCAGTTGGAGAACAGACACTACAATTAAAATCCGAATGCGGCTCCTCAATGCAGCGTGCCAAACAACAGTCGCATCACAGATCAGCAGCAGGAGTCAGATTTCATTTATCACGTGAGAGTGAGTCGAGCTGACTGGCAAGAAGAGTGAGGTGAGAAAGACGAGACGATGGCGGAAGATTTAGTTTTGAAACGAAATGCAAAAGCGCCTAGCTGTTTGGCAATATTTTAGATTTTGAAAAGACAGTTTACTCTTGCTTTTGTTTATCTAAGGTGATTTTAACATTCGTTTTGTTTATTTGGTTCCACAGTGTTTGCTGATTTTACTTTATTTAAACTTTGTAATTTATTTATTTTATTTATCAATGTGTATGCCGTGCATCCAAGCTTTCATTTTCGTTTTGCAAATAAACGTTTTATGTTTCTTATTTATTTGGTTCCACAGTTCCACAGTGTTTGCTGATTTTTATTTGTATATATATATTTAAACTTTAAGTTATTTATTTTATATTAGGCCTATAGCATGGTGTATTTTTATTCAGTTTGCTAACAAAAGTTTTGTTTAATATAAGTGAAAAAGTACCGTTTTGTTGTATCCATTCAAACAATTGATGCTGAATTGACGCTAATAAAGTGAAAGTAAACTGCGCACAGGCATTTACAAGCCATTTAAAAGTGAAGGAAAGCGAGGAAAAGAGGGAAAACCCCAACGAAGCCCACTCCCCCGGTGATACCGGTATTACTGGTGTTGTCACATGTCAATTAACCGGTGGGAAAATGTCACAACCCTAGTTTGCATTTATTTCTGGAAGTTGCATCCAATCAGATTGGAACTAGCCATTTCTTGCCTTTTATTCCGTGCAATATTATGTAGACAGTGAGTGAGTGAACTATAGGCGGTCGGTCTGTTTGAAGCTACTGCTTGTTTTAATATTTGGCTGTAAAGCTCAGAATTACACATTGATTCTGTGTCATCTGTGCAGGAGAAGCCTCAGCCCTCAACAACCACCTTCGTTTTAAATCAACTGAATCAGTTGCCATCGCTGGGTACAATTGTAGTGACCAAACCATCAGCCGGGACCACCTCCAGGCAGACCATCACAGTAACCAAGGTGGTACACACAAGTTCGACAGCACAACGGAGCTCTTTGTCCTCTCCCACCGTTTGCACTGTGGTCCCACCGAATAATGAGCAGATCAGATTGAAGGACCTTCTCAGAACCAGCAGCCTGAAGACAAACAGCCTTGGAGAGCTTATGAAGTTGAAGCCCCCACCTGACATAGCGCGACCTGTTGCTACGGCAACAGCCACAGGCACAAGTGAGTGCTGGCAGACGTGCTGGACCTCGAGCAATCCTAGATGTTTTTTTGCTTGTAAGGGTCTGTCGATGCATCTCTCGGCTTTGTGGCACTTTGCAGATCTAATGCTGAGTGCCAGTTTTCAAGTGCTACCTCCAGCTGTCAAAACGAAACCAATATGGGCTCAAACCACCTTTGGAGGCGTTAAAGGGTTAGTTCACCCAAAAATTAAAATTAGCCCATAAATTACTCGCCCTCAAGGGCTGTGCAATATATCGCAAATGTACATATCGCTACAGCTTGCAATATTTGGGGCCATGAACAAAAGACAAAGAGAAAATCACTCGCTGGTCTTACCTAAATAACTTTTGTAGCTTAAATAAGAATCAGTGTATTTTGAATTCAAAGAGGAAATACTAAGCAGTGTTTTATTTTTCCTTTTTATTATTCTGTTGCATGGGGACATAATTAAATTACTGATTATAATGACTTATACTGTCTTTTTATGCGTTGCATTGCATCGCGCCGCGTAAACATAAAACTCTGTCTGCATTTGTGATCGGAGAAACGACAAACAACAACTGCTACTCTACACTGCCCAAAACTCACGTTTGAAGTGGCAAATCATTTAAATGAAAACGTACTTATGTGGGTCAGAACTGCCGGCATTGTAGTCTTAACGTTACTCTCCCAGGATCAGTAAACAGTCCTCCATAAAATGTGCTGCACACATCTGGATATTCTGGAACAGTGTTGTATATACAACTTAAAGGGGTCATATGATGCTTTTTTTTAAAGATCATTATTTTGTGTATTTGGTGTAACCAGAATGTTGACATGCTTTAATGTTCAAAAAACACATTATTTTTCAAATACTGTACATTATTGTAGGTCCTCTATGCCCCGCCTCTTTCAAACGCTTAGTTTTTTTACAAAGTCTCTCCTTCCGACAAGCACAGTCTGCTCTGATTGGCCAGCTGACCCAGTGCATTGTGATTGGCCGAACACCGCAAGCACTCGTCGGAAATGTAACGTCCCTTACCATAATCACGAGCTTCATCTTTCAAAATAAATGTAAAGACAGAGCCCGAAAGGGGAACAAAGTCGCGTGACAGACACAGTGATGAAGCTGGTATGTGTTTGCAGTACACAAGCCACGGTTAAGACAGCTGACTCCATTGTGATGTTACCCTGTGTCTCTTGCTCTCTCTCTCGCATAGAAGTTCACAGAACTGACTCAGCAACAGCGGAGTAAAACTTTCATTTGAGCATGTGGCACTTTAAGCATTATCGTATCGCATTTTTCTTCAATATCGCACAGTCCTAAGTCATCCTAGGTGTATATGACTTTCTTCTTTCAGACGAATCCAGTCGGAGTTATATTAAAAATGGTCTTTGATCTTTCAAGCTGTTTAATCTCAGCGGGTGTTGCATGCATCAGTCCAAAAGAAGTTAAATAAAAAGTGCCCATTCATTAAAAAAAGTCTCACACGGCTCCGGGGGGTGAACAAAGGCCTCCTGTAGCGAATCGATGGGTTTTTGTAAGAAAAATATCCCTATTCAAAACATAATAATCACTTTAATGTAGCTTGCGCCTACAGTTGTACACAGAAGCAGCGAATGACGTATGAGGTCGGCTTTGCGCATGCGCCGCTCAGAAGTGACGAACGCGGAAGCGCAGGGGAGAGATCAAAACAAAACAACGGTCACTTTATTAGAAGTACAAAATGAGGATTTGTAAAGAAGAATGTCGGAGGATTTCGATATAAGCCAAGAGGAGACTGGTTTTACTTTGCTAAAGTAAGGAAACTTTGCTTCCTTTGCTACTGTTAACAAATGCTGGATGGGTGCTTTTTTATTTAACTTTTTTTTTTTGACTGATGCATGCAACAGCCGCTGAGTGGCATTAAGCAGAATCAGCCGGGACCAGAAAGTCATATACACCTAGGATGACTTGAGGGTGAGTAATTTATGGGCTAATTTTCATTTTTGGGTGAACTAACCCTTTAAAGCCGTTAAGATGCTCTTAAGAAATAGCAGACCTGTTTTTAGGTTTATCATTTTTAAAGAAACATCGATTTAGGCCATGTTCACAGTGCAGCTAAAGACAGTTGTCAATGCTTCAAACCAGTGTATCTTATTATAATAGTATTATTTATATACCAATAGTTTATTATTAGTATTTCAAATAAGCTTTTATGTTTTATTTTTCTAGTAATTTTGTGCTTTTCGCACTCACTTTTTTTTTTTTTTTCCCCAGGTAGTGTTTTTAGTGCATCAACTTTTCTCATTTTCATAGTTTTTCATCTATTTATTTCAGCTTTTATTTCAATTAACCAAATGTTTTTTAATAGCTTTATTTAATGATATTCCTAGTATTTATGGTGCACTTAAGAGTTTCCTTGTTAAAAATTTGAGCATTGACTAAAGGCTGTTTTGAGAGACTGTGTGGATGTAATCATGCTGTTTTTTCTTTAATGTCAGTGCTCTTCCTTTCAGAAATTATTTTGATCTCCACAAAGATGATGAACAGATCAGGTATGGGTAGGGTTTTAACTGCAGTGCACTGAGTCTGTTTTCACAGGTGCTTTCATGTTGTGGTGGGACCGTATCATTTCTGGCATGCTAATGTGGGTGTGTGTAAATATTTGTGAATATTTTTTGTCTCCGTTTTCTTCAGCGGAATTAAACAATGGCTTGAAAAAGGAAGTGTCCAGCAAAGATGTAGCAAGAATCTGGGTCAATGATGACATGAAAATGCGGAGCTTCTCACCTGTAAATGTAAGCTTATTTATTTGTATTTAAATGTGATGAGATAATCACTGAGGACTTTAGCTGTCATTTAAATTTTTTGGATTGTTTTTTTATTTATTTGAATGTAGAAATTGCCAGGAATGAAGGAGGAAGAGGAACCAGAGGAAGAGGAAGAGGAGGAGCTGGGTCATGCGGAGACATATGCTGAATACATGCCGATGAAACGTATGTATAATCATGTTATCACTGTCAGAGTCCTTAATTTAAGGGTTGTGCACAGCCAGTAATTTCATAGCTGTACATTAGATGTAATCTATGAAAAATACAGAATTATTATTAATATTAGTGCCAACTAAGCCGTTGTTTTTCACTCTGTTTTTGGCAAGTTTGTAAAGTTGATCTTCTCTCGTCTCTCAGTGAGAATTGGACTGCGGCACCCTGATCCTGTGGTGGAGACCAGCTCTCTGTCAAGTGTCAACCCGCCAGATGTGTGGTACAGACTTTCCATTGCAGAGGAGACCATAGATAGAGGCTGGTTATCTGCCCTACAGCTTGAGGCCATCACGTATGCTGCTCAGGTTTGGGCCTCTTTATATATACTAACCTTTAAAATGATATTACCATTTAGGAATCAGATTAGTTCATTTATGCAAGTCAAATCATAACATACTGTAATTTCTAAAATGGTGTACTGCAGTATTTCAGACCTGTCTCTTTCAATCGTGTCTCTTTGTACAGCAACATGAGACATTCCTACCAAATGGAGACAGAGCAGCGTACTTGATTGGAGATGGGGCCGGCGTTGGAAAGGGTAGAACTATTGCTGGAATCATATATGAAAATTATCTTCTTGGGAGGAAAAGATCCCTCTGGTAATCTCCTGTTTTCTTCTTTTTCAAAGCTGCTTTTTGGTGTGTAAATTGTACCATTATTCATGCCTTTTTTTCCACCACTGGTCTGTACAGGTTTAGTGTCTCAAATGACTTGAAATACGATGCAGAGAGGGACTTGAGAGACATCGGAGCAAAGAACATTCAGGTCTATTCGCTTAACAAGGTACATTAAGTGCTTCTTAGCCAACATGTGAGATGTTTGTGTATTTCGAGTAGGAAATACATTTTTCTAAATTCTCTCTTTCAGTTCAAATATGGAAAGATCTCATCGAAACACAATGGGAGTGTGAAAAAAGGTGTGATCTTTGCCACATACTCATCCTTGATTGGAGAGAGCCAGTCTGGGGGAAAGTACAAGACGAGATTCAAACAGTTACTACACTGGTGTGGAGATGACTTTGATGGTGTTGTATCCTTTCAAGTTAAAAGGAAGTAGTAGGAAGAAAGAAAGTCTGATACTGTCAATTTTATAACAAAATTCATACAATAAATTATGTTTTGATGCTCTTTGATGTGGCATTTCACCACTCCGTTCAAGCGGCAGTGTTTCAACTGTGAAAAGACATCAATAAAACAGGTTGTAAACAATGTCATGTAACATTACGTTAAGCCTAGGAAAAACATTCAATGTCTGCAGCTTGTTAGCTTAAAAAAAAGTAACTCTATAGAGGAGCATTTTGCAAAATATACGCACTAAACGTTTCTTTTTAACTTAACCTGTTGTCTTAATTACTTTGACACGTAACTTATATTTAATGTGTTTGTCAATGAATCTCTCATGAAAACAAGTTATTACAGCCACCGTTTATATTTCGGGAGCAAATTAATGTCAATAAAAAGTTAATAAAAATGACTTTATGGGCAATTTAAATGTTTATTTACAACTATTTGTTGATTTATTAGATGTTATTAATTGATTTTAAAAGAAAACATTTATTTTGGTTTTGATTTTCAGACTAAATTAAAAGTTTAATTTAGGTTTTGGTTAAAAAAATCAAAAACATTTCAGTTCATCATTAGTTGAGAACCCCCCCCCCAGATGTCGATAAATTCATGATTCTCATTTCCACAATTTTGGTACTACATCAATCTGACATCCCTAGAAGAACATTCTGTGCTCTAGAGTGGAAAAACAAGCATGTTTCATTGCATATTGACTGAACCGCAGTGAAGCGCTTAACATGGTGTGATTGTATTCAGCTCTCTAGTAACTATGGTGATTGATTCCCTTGACTGAGTATCTCAGATCATATTTGATGAGTGTCACAAAGCCAAAAATGTTTGCCCTATTGGGTCATCCAAGCCCACAAAGACCGGGCTAGCGGTTTTAGAGCTGCAGAACAAGCTGTCAAAAGCTCGGGTTGTGTACGCAAGTGCTACAGGTATGTGACTGTGGATGTTGTATTTTGGCCAACATGGATGCATTCATGTTTCTTTTCAAATATATTTATTTCAGTATTTTGCTACTTGTACATCTTTTGTTTGATTTTTTGTAGGAGCATCCGAGCCCCGCAATATGGCCTACATGAATCGCCTTGGGATCTGGGGGGAAGGAACTCCTTTTAAGGAATTTACAAATTTTATCCAAGCTGTTGAAAGAAGGTGAGTCGATCATATAAGAGTTTGTGTCCATATGACCTTGCTTTTTTGTACCAGCATGCATCCTCTCAATATTGAATGTAACCCTTTTTTTGGTTGACTTATTTTAGAGGTGTTGGTGCCATGGAGATTGTTGCCATGGATATGAAGCTGAGAGGAATGTACATTGCTCGACAGCTGAGCTTCACAGGCGTGACGTTTAAAATCGAAGAAGTTCCCTTAACGCTGAACTACATCAAGATGTACAACAAATCAGTTCGCTTGGTGCGTAAAATGCCAAAACTAAAACTGAACTTTTTTTTTTTGCCATTAGTATGTGTGATATTTAGAATCATTTAAATGATCATAGTCATTTATTTTGCAAACCTGCAGTGGGTAAGAGCAAGAGAGAAGTTCCAGCAAGCCGCTAACCTGATGGATGCAGAACAACGGATGAAAAAGTCCATGTGGGGTCAGTTCTGGTCCGCTCACCAGAGGTTCTTCAAGTACCTGTGCATTGCTTCCAAGGTTCGGAGAGTGGTGCAGCTGGCCAGAGAGGAGGTTAAAAATGGAAAGGTTAGATTGGACGTTCTTTTATTACAAAAAGCTTCCAGAGAGAAAGAATTGCAGTGATTTTGGTTGTGCTGGTCTGTAACCTTCTCTGTAGTGTGTGGTGATTGGTCTTCAATCAACTGGAGAGGCTCGAACCCTTGAGGCCTTAGAGGAGGGAGGAGGCGAGCTCAATGACTTTGTCTCCACTGCAAAGTGAGTGCAATAAATTTGCAGGAAATAGTTTTTATATTTTGAATATTTTGTCCTAAAATGAAAATTTGTTGAAAATGTTCTCTCCCTCTGGCCATTCAAGATTTAGATGAGTTTGTTTGTTCATCTGAACGGATTTGGAGAAATTACAGCAAAAATTAACTGCAGAGCATCCATTGGTGAGCAAGTGATGTAGTGCTAAATTTCTCCAAATCTGAACAAACTCATCATGGATGGCGAGTACATTTTTATTTTTAGGTGAACTATTCCTTAAAGAGAAATAATTCCTTTATAAATGCTTTAGTCTGTAGCAGATGATAATAATAGACAAAGTATCATTTTAAATGTTTTTTTTAACTGAAACTATCTATGCATTATTTTTTTTAAAGGGGTGTACTGCAGTCCCTGGTGGAGAAGCATTTTCCTGCACCAGACAGACAAAAACTCTTCAGTCTTTTAGGCATTGACCTAAGTGTGAAGGAAACGCCTTCACCTTCAGAAACCTCCACTGAGCAGAAAGGCAAAAAGCGAAGAGGTACTGTTCACATGCACATGAAAACCACAATAGCGATGCCTTATGTTTAGCAGCAGTTTCTACCCTGAAACTATGAGCACATTTCAATGGAGGAAGTAAAACCACTCTTGGGTTACTCAAATTGAAAATGAGTTATGACAGTTGGTGACTTGTGTTTGCAGGTCCAGAAACAAAGAAGCAAGTGAAGAAGGCTCGTAAATCTGGTGGTCTGTCTGGTACCAGCTCAGATGAGAGCAACTCTGACGATTCAGACAAAGATGTGGAAAGCGACGACAGCTTTAATTCGGTCAGCTCAGGGGAGGAGGATGAAGATGACTTCAACCCCTTTAAGGATGATTCCAGTGAGGATGAGGAAGATGGTGAGAATCTGTAGCAGTTGTTAATATTGTAAATTATTGCACCCAAGATAGTCAAGCCTCATTATTTATGTAGCACTTTATACAGTGGACCCTTTTCACAGACTCCGGTGACACAAAGTTATTAACATTGTAAGTTATAACACTACACTTTATTATATTACCTTAGCTTTAAATTACAGAAAACTAGTTAACTCTTCTGCACAAGTGTAATACGACAGCTGAGGGACTGATGGCAAATTTGATATCTTCATCTCTTTTGATCAATGTAATCAATCTCCATATTTTTCTCATCTTTTGTAAAGTCTTAAACATTATTGTGGATTTTTTTTTCTCCCCCCATTGGGGCAAATGGGAATGCAAACATTTTTATTTGTTGTAATTTCCATTCACCTCTATAGAAGTTTACCCAGCTATGACGGCTTGCACTTCTGAGAACCCTGGAAATGTAAAAGGGTCCATACAGATCGTTTCAAAGCAGTTTCACGTAAATAAAACCAGAACATTGTTAATGTTGCAGCTCAACAGAAGACAATACTGTCATTATTTAATCAGCGTTGATTCAGTTCCGTTCAATAACTGTCAATGGTGCAAAGTTCAACAGATATAAAATGAATCCAGTTTAGCAATAAGCAGCTCTACAGAAGACAATAGTGTCATTTATTCAGCTTAATTCAGTTCAGTGTTGATACCATAATAATTAGAAATATTCAAATGCTGCCAATTGTTTGAAACTTAGATCCGTGGCTCATCAGAAAAGACACTAAAAAGAGCAAAGACAAGAGGAACAAGAAGAAGAAAAAGAGCATTGATCCAGACTCTATTCAAAGTGCCTTGTTAGCCTCCGGGCTTGGAACAACCAGACCCACTTTTACAACCCCCACCATCAAACCTTCAAACAACACGGTTGCTGTAGGTATGTGACCAGTGAGCTCTTCACAATGTTTCTAGATGTTTATCACAGATAATTGCAGCTGAAAGTTGTTGATTAAAGCAGTATAATGAAGAAGGTCATTGTCCAGTGAATAATAATACCAATAGTCATACTAAATACTTTTTCTTAAGCCAAAAGTGAGCCAGAGGAGAGCAGTTGTGTGACCAGTCAGGATGCTGTTGAAGATGCCCAGCGGATGAAGAGGGACCTGCTGGAGCAACTGGAGCAGCTCGCAGAGAATCTGCCGCCTAATACACTCGACGAACTCATCGATGAGCTGGGAGGCCCTGATATTGTTGCAGAGGTTGGTCTGTTGGTAGAGATTATTTTTTAGAGCCGTCAGTTATTTTGTGTACACTGTATTTCATTAAAACGGTGCCATTTTTAATGTGCATGTCTTACACAATGCAGATGACTGGCCGCAAAGGCAGGGTAGTCAGCAATGATGATGGCACAATTTCCTATGAGTCTCGATCAGAGCTTGACGTTCCAGTTGAAATCTTAAACCTCACGGAGAAGCAGAGGTTCATGGATGGTGATAAGGTATGCTGTTTTGGTTTTACCCACATCTGTGTAATGTTTTGATGTTATGAACAGCATTTAAACAGTTCTGTGTTCACATTTGTAGAACATTGCAATTATCTCAGAGGCTGCCAGCTCTGGGATTTCACTTCAAGCCGACCGCAGAGTGAAGAACCAGAGGAGGAGGGTACACATGACATTAGAGCTGCCCTGGAGTGCTGACAGAGCTATTCAGCAGTTTGGTGGGTACATAGTATTTTGTTTATTTATTGCATCTTCATTATTATATTTTTGTATGTGTATAATATTATAAAAAGTATATTTAGTTCTAAATATTTTGAGTTAAATTAATAGTCTAATTGTATTCATTTATTTGTGTTGTCAGTTCACTAACTCTTTGGATTCTTTGCAAACAGGTCGAACACATCGATCCAACCAGGTCACAGCACCCGAGTATGTGTTTCTCATCTCTGAACTCGCTGGAGAGCAACGATTCGCTTCGATTGTTGCCAAACGACTAGAAAGCCTGGTAAGTCTCTCATGCACATGCTGCATGCTAATGGGGGTCAGTTTTAATTTTGCAAGCCTAATTGTGTTTGTCTTTCTCAAATAGGGGGCGTTAACGCATGGAGACAGAAGGGCCACGGAGACGAGAGATCTCAGCCGATTTAACTTTGACAACAAAGTAAGATTAGATTACACACACCGTCCGTATTAAATAGGGTTGTTGCTAGATAATGTACTGATGTCTTTTTCTCATCTACAGTACGGCAGAAACGCTCTGGAAATAGTTATGAAGTCTATTGTCAGTCTGGACTCTCCGTTAGTGTCTCCACCTGCTGACTTTGAGGGGGATTTCTTTAAAGGTACAGTTGATTGTTTTTAATAATAGGAAAAGAGTCACTTGAAAACCAAAAAATGTAACGATCTTAATGCTTTGAATTTTCTTTTTTTCTTTTTTTTCAGAAATCCGCAGTGGTTTAATTGGAGTGGGCCTGATAAATGTGGAGGATAGATCTGGTGTTCTCTTACTGGAAAAAGGTGAGTGATTTTCAATCAATTTTATTCTCAGCTTTTCTTTTCACATAATAATGTTCAGGGTGCCTGCTGGTTTTTAAGAAGTCTTCAAATTTCTTAAATTCGGTTTGATCAAATTTAAGGCTATAGGAAGTCTTAAAGGATTAGTTCACTTCCAGAATAAAAATTTCCTGATCATTTACTCACCCCCATGTCATCCAAGATGTTCATGTCTTTCTGTCTTCAGTCACAAAGAAACCAGGATTTTTCTCTATATAATGGACTTCAATGGGTTGAGGGTCCAAATTGCAGCTTCAAAGGGCTCTACACGATCTCAGCTGACATTTTCTGTCATTTCTGTCATTTTCTAAAAAAATAAATAAAAATGTTTAAAAAATTTTACCACGAATGCAAGTCTCCAGTAATCGGGCACTGTTTGACAGGCTTTTTAGTGTGTGTGCGCTTCAGGTGTACACGCTGAGAAAAAGCATGTCACAACGAAATGTTTAAATTAAAAGTTTAACCTACTTTGTCGACCAAGGTTGAAATTTCTCTGACCACACCGGCAATAATGGATATTAAAAATAACATACCACATACAGAGAGAAACTTAAACTTCTACCATATTGTTTTTATTTAATATGTCCATATGCATTGGGGAAATATGAACTTCTATAAATATTCTTTTGTGCCTTAGGCATTGCATATTTTAATGGGATTTTAATGTAATAAACACCATTTTAGACTCCAAGATTAGCTCATTTTGTTCACAATTTCAGTTAAAATGTATATTTTCTTTGCAGATTTGGGCTCTGGAGATGAAAAAGTGAAGAAAGTTGATGTAAAGAAATTCTTGACACCAGGATATTCCACCTCGGGCCATGTGGAGCTCTATACAGTATGTATATCCATACTGAGAAACTAAAATAGGTGTCCATGTTTATGAGCACCATTGTGATTGCATTATTAGTGTTAATGTCATAATTGGTTAATGGCTAAAAAGAAGTTGTTTCTGTGTGTTCAGGTGAGTGTGGAACGGGGAATGTCATGGGAGGATGCCACCCACATCTGGGCCGACCAGAATGGACCGGATGATGGCTTTTACGTACAGGTGAACAAGCTTTTTGTTTCCCCTTTCTGCACTCTACTTCCAATTAATTCTACGACTGAAACTACCAGCATTCTGTTTCATCTCAAGGTGCGAAATAACAAGAAAATCTCCATCCTGGTAAAGGAGGTCAATCCCAGAAAGAGACTCTTTATGGTGTACAGACCAAATATAGGAAAACAAGTTAAACTGGAGACCTATGCAGACATCAAGAAGAGAAGTAAAAAGGTATTACATTACTGCAGTTTTATTAAGGTTTTTGGTTTATCATTGGGGTCAAATTTACCAGCCATGAATCTTTTTAATCAGCCGTATATATGTGTATTGCATTAGTTCAGTCAGTAATTTTATCGACAAACCGCACTGGTTATTTAGGGGAAAATATCCAGGTTTTGCCTTTTTCATAATTGCTAAAGGTAATGACTGAAGAATAGTTTGATTGTATTAAATCAAAAATCCAAAAAAATAAAAATGCATAACTTTTTTTTTTTTTTTTTTCTTTTTTCCAGAATGTTAAAAGTTTTAAAGTTTCAGTTGATTTGGACATGCTTTTTTTGATTATTAAAATTTAACAACCATTCAAATGGAATCCAGATAAATAAAAACTGAAGACCGAGAACTTTGGAAAAATAAAACGGAATTAAAAAATAACTTGAATCCATATGGATATAATAAATTGCAGAAACTCGTTTTCTTTTTTCTTCTCAGGTCTGATCATTCCTACCAACTGCGTGTCGCCCCTGATCAACATTCTGTCGTCATCGGATCAGTCTCAGCAGCTGGCTGTGCAGCAGCAGCAAATGTGGCAGCAACTCCATCCGCAGAGCATCAGCCACACCGTCAACACATAGCGTGACACAAACACCCCTCACTTTCGGGCAGATGCGGCATCGTAAGCCAGCCAGCCACCCTTCCTCTCCCGGCACACCATGAGGAAGACAGTGCTTGTGTCGTATTTAATATTTCAGGGTTCGTGTCCAAAGAGGACTCATTGCCAAAGCAGCTATAGAATCAGAGCTCTGTGCGTCAGGAAACAGCACTGAGAGGGGCGAAACTGGACGATATTTGGTCAGTCTGTTGCCTTTTCACAACCTCCAGTCTGCTAAATCATGGCCTGTGCTTTCCATCGACATAAGTGGCTTTATGAAGTCACATACACTACGTTGTACACAGGACAGCGCTCAGGGGTTACTCACAATCTAGTTTCTTTTCCATTTCTATTTTTTCGTCTCGCACGGCCGCCATCTGTCCCCACCTTCAGCCTTCTGACCCAGCATGTCTTGGGCATGACGCTGCTTGTTTACCACTTAATACAGAACCTGATTTAAAAGCAGGAATGCGATGGGTGTAAGCGGCGCAAACCCAACCCTAAAGACCTTATCGAGACGTTGCATGGTTTGACGAACCCTTTGGATTTTTAGTTTACGGAAGCGGGTCAGCAGGTTTTCACTGCTTTCCAGTGTTTCAGTTTGAGTGTGATTTGTAAACTGGAGTGTCCTCTACAAAAGGCCACATCAATCAATGCTTTTGCTCAATTTTTCTATTTCTTGCTTTTAATAATTTGCCGTCACTCTTGTTATTGGGGACAAAGAGCTCCCGAACCTCATTTCTGCTGTAAATGCTGGACTTTGACACATGCTCGGTCTCTCTACTATATCTCGATGTATAGTTGCATATCTCAAATGTCATGTTTTTGCTGAATTGTAGATGTAGCAGCAATCTAAAGACAATGTCATTCATCCTTGCACGAGTTGCACTACTGATGGATCTGTTGTACAAAGAATCTATGGAAAACTTTAACTGATCGCAAGATCTCTACTCTTGCATTTGACCAATAAATCTTGTGGATTACCTCGATTTCAAAATGTCTTCACTTCAAGGAACCACTTTTTTCTATTCATAATGTGTATTTAACTTTATTTTTGTATCAGCGTGGTACGGTTTGAACAAGAAGGAAACTGTAGTAGGTACACCTGAAGTCTTTTATTTTCAGTATTCGGTGCGTTTCGAAGTAAAAGTATAAAGGTAATTCTCAAAGTCGGATGAGTTTCATAAAATAACATTTATTTCAGTGTACAGATTATTTCAGTATAAATTATGTACAAAGCTTTAAAATAAGAATCCACCTTAAATCTAATTAAACATGATTCGTTCTCGACTCAACTCTTTTGGAATCTTATCTTGGCTCGATTTAAATATTTAGTTCCAATATTAAAATTTAACAACCATTCAAATGGAATCCAGATAAATAAAAACTGAAGACCGAGAACTTTGGAAAAATAAAACGGAATTAAAAAATAACTTGAATCCATATGGATATAATAAATTGCAGAAACTCGTTTTCTTTTTTCTTCTCAGGTCTGATCATTCCTACCAACTGCGTGTCGCCCCTGATCAACATTCTGTCGTCATCGGATCAGTCTCAGCAGCTGGCTGTGCAGCAGCAGCAAATGTGGCAGCAACTCCATCCGCAGAGCATCAGCCACACCGTCAACACATAGCGTGACACAAACACCCCTCACTTTCGGGCAGATGCGGCATCGTAAGCCAGCCAGCCACCCTTCCTCTCCCGGCACACCATGAGGAAGACAGTGCTTGTGTCGTATTTAATATTTCAGGGTTCGTGTCCAAAGAGGACTCATTGCCAAAGCAGCTATAGAATCAGAGCTCTGTGCGTCAGGAAACAGCACTGAGAGGGGCGAAACTGGACGATATTTGGTCAGTCTGTTGCCTTTTCACAACCTCCAGTCTGCTAAATCATGGCCTGTGCTTTCCATCGACATAAGTGGCTTTATGAAGTCACATACACTACGTTGTACACAGGACAGCGCTCAGGGGTTACTCACAATCTAGTTTCTTTTCCATTTCTATTTTTTCGTCTCGCACGGCCGCCATCTGTCCCCACCTTCAGCCTTCTGACCCAGCATGTCTTGGGCATGACGCTGCTTGTTTACCACTTAATACAGAACCTGATTTAAAAGCAGGAATGCGATGGGTGTAAGCGGCGCAAACCCAACCCTAAAGACCTTATCGAGACGTTGCATGGTTTGACGAACCCTTTGGATTTTTAGTTTACGGAAGCGGGTCAGCAGGTTTTCACTGCTTTCCAGTGTTTCAGTTTGAGTGTGATTTGTAAACTGGAGTGTCCTCTACAAAAGGCCACATCAATCAATGCTTTTGCTCAATTTTTCTATTTCTTGCTTTTAATAATTTGCCGTCACTCTTGTTATTGGGGACAAAGAGCTCCCGAACCTCATTTCTGCTGTAAATGCTGGACTTTGACACATGCTCGGTCTCTCTACTATATCTCGATGTATAGTTGCATATCTCAAATGTCATGTTTTTGCTGAATTGTAGATGTAGCAGCAATCTAAAGACAATGTCATTCATCCTTGCACGAGTTGCACTACTGATGGATCTGTTGTACAAAGAATCTATGGAAAACTTTAACTGATCGCAAGATCTCTACTCTTGCATTTGACCAATAAATCTTGTGGATTACCTCGATTTCAAAATGTCTTCACTTCAAGGAACCACTTTTTTCTATTCATAATGTGTATTTAACTTTATTTTTGTATCAGCGTGGTACGGTTTGAACAAGAAGGAAACTGTAGTAGGTACACCTGAAGTCTTTTATTTTCAGTATTCGGTGCGTTTCGAAGTAAAAGTATAAAGGTAATTCTCAAAGTCGGATGAGTTTCATAAAATATGCTGTAAATGCTGGACTTTGACACATGCTCGGTCTCTCTACTATATCTCGATGTATAGTTGCATATCTCAAATGTCATGTTTTTGCTGAATTGTAGATGTAGCAGCAATCTAAAGACAATGTCATTCATCCTTGCACGAGTTGCACTACTGATGGATCTGTTGTACAAAGAATCTATGGAAAACTTTAACTGATCGCAAGATCTCTACTCTTGCATTTGACCAATAAATCTTGTGGATTACCTCGATTTCAAAATGTCTTCACTTCAAGGAACCACTTTTTTCTATTCATAATGTGTATTTAACTTTATTTTTGTATCGGCGTGGTACGGTTTGAACAAGAAGGAAACTGTAGTAGGTACACCTGAAGTCTTTTATTTTCAGTATTCGGTGCGTTTCGAAGTATAAAGGTAATTCTCAAAGTCGGATGAGTTTCATAAAATAACATTTATTTCAGTGTACAGATTATTTCAGTATAAATTATGTACAAAGCTTTAAAATAAGAATCCACCTTAAATCTAATTAAACATGATTCGTTCTCGACTCAACTCTTTTGGAATCTTATCTTGGCTCGATTTAAATATTTAGTTCCAAAATTGCAAATGTTACATCTTGGAAAAATTCAAATTAAAAAATGAATCAGATTGTGTTCCATTGCAAAAAAATATTTATTTCTCTTTCCAACTTTTTTTTTATTTTTATATATATATATATATATATATATATATACACACACAAGTAAAAAAGTTTTTCTAAAAAGAAAAGAAAAAAAACCTTACAAGTAAAATCTATTAAAAAGATTTAAATCCTCGTGTTAACGAGCAGTATTTAAAAAAAAAAAAAATTTTTTTTTAATGATTTTGTAACCTCTCCAGTTGTGACTGTGATGATAGACAACGCTGGTTGTTTTTTCATTAATTCAGTGTTAATTGTCAGTTCTTTGTGATGATGGACAGCAGTGTGGGTGTCATGAGGAGTGACGCGGCCATATTTGCCGGTGCTCCGCTGTAAACAAAAAGTGTCTGAGACGGACGCTCCGCTGATTTTAGGGACAATTTTATTTCTCTCATTTATTATCTCTTCAGGTATGTCTTACAAACCCAATCTCCACCAACACCTTCCGGGAACTTCTGGGAACCAAGGTATGCCGAAAAAGCGTGGAAAACTCTTGGTCTTGAGTGTATTTGGTCGAATGCAAGAATCAGCGTGAGAAAGAATACCTGGGGAAAAGCCGTGTGTAGTTTTTGTCCAGTCTGATCGCTACAGGGTCAGATCCTTCACATCCGCCATTATTACTAGTGCAAAAAACGCATTCCTCGCCTTCGCTAGAGCTAAATATCGGCGTGAGGTGTATGTTCGGGTTCTTCCCGAAGGGTCCGCGTCGCGCAGTGGCCGGATGGGTTTGCGTGGAGGCCGCTAGATTGTGATAAAAATGAATCCTTTTAGCGGCTAAGATCAAGCCCGCGCCGTTTCCTCCATGATTGTCTCTCGGGCTGTTGATTGATCGGATTCAGACGTGCAGTTTTTTTATTGCGCTTTGGGGACACCTAGTGGTGGAGGGTGGTATTGCATAGAACGAAGGCCGGGGCTAGTTGTCACAAGGGTTATATCACAGTTACTGTGAGGCTTTGAGACAAAAGATCAGTTACACAAATGCACGTCTATCTTGAAATAATGGCATATGTGTTTATGTAAATAAGTTGTTGCTTCGTACAGTTAATGATGTGTTTTGTTTTAACAAGGAAACATTCCCTCTCCATCTTCCATGGTAACAATACATTCATACAAGCCCATGCTAAATGACTTTGGGCCGCCCTCGTTGGGATTCCTACAGGTAGGTTTCATGTTCCTATAACACTAAAACAAAACCAACAAACAAATTGTTACTTGAAATGAAATATAATACCACATTTTATTTCAGCTTGTTGCCAAGGCAAAGTTTCTCGTTTTCATTTAGATTAACTTGATGTACTAAAACAACAAAAACTAAAACTGCAATAAAGACTATCTAATAAACCCCCCAAAAATGCACAACGAAATTACTAAAACTTTCAATTACCACGAAAACAGAAACCATTACAAGTAATAAGTTATCATTTAAAATATCCAGTTATTTTAATGGAAGTTATACTTATTTAAAATGAAAACAAAAGCTATGTAGACATATCTTTTTAAAAAAAACAACTAATAAAAATAAAGCAACAAAATACTAAAACCTAAACTAAAATGAAAACGGAAAACATTAAAAGTAAAAACACTCAACATTAATTAAAACTCTTCATTTAGTCTCACTTGATGTGAAAAAATAACAACTAAAATTGAAATAAAAACTATAAAGACATTTAGAAAAAGCAAACTGATAAAAATGACTATTACTAAAACTTTATGAAAACGGAAAATATAAAAGTAAAAGCAAATTCAAAATATTAATTAAAATTACATTGTTTAACTAAAATAACTAAAGCTATATAAAAACTACATAGACGTATTAAATGACAACAACATTACTAAAACCTTAACTAAAATTAAAAATTAAATGGAAAAAAGGAAATTCAAAAATATGAATAAAAATATAATCGCTTAGTTTAACTTGATATACTAAAACAACAAAACTAAAAACAATAGAAATATATAAAAAACTAATAAAAAATTAGAAACACAACAAAATTACAAAAATAAGTCAATATAAAATGGAAACTATTGAAAGTAAAAACTAATTTGAAATATTAATAAAAGCTATAATAGTCTCTGATACTAAAATAACAGGTTTGATACTCTTAATTGTTTACACTTTAAAGTTGATTAAAAATGTTCCTCTGTCTCTTATATCATGTCTAGGGTCCAAATGGGAACCAAGTACCTCAGAGTAAATATGCTGAACTCCTCGCCATCATTGAAGAACTTGGGAAAGAAATAAGGCCAACATATGCAGGGAGTAAAAGTGCCATGGAGCGACTTAAAAGAGGTTTGTGGACATGATCAAAGACTAAATATATAAATCTGCTTCTAAATGTCATTGTTTAATTAAATGCACTCATGTTAAACGCAAATATTGTGTCATGGAAACTGATTTTTTTCATGTTTTTTGTAGGTATCATTCATGCCAGAGGGCTTGTTCGGGAGTGTCTGGCAGAGACAGAGAGAAACGCCAGATCCTAGCGCCTCCTTCACCATTCTCTCCATACGGCTGAAAGAACTGTGTCACACGGGAATCATGCATGCCTTTCCTTTGAGGGGATAAAACAATCAAAAGACGGAGCATTTATGTTACGAGTTTTGCTTTTCATCTGCGGTTTGGAGGGAATAAGGCACCATTCAGAGAATATATCTTCTGATTTACAAATGCAAGAGATCCGGAACTGTTGCCATTTGAGGTTTTTTATATATTTCATGTTCTTTGACCACATAGTATCTTTAAGAACAAATGAGCAAAAATGCATGCAACCGGATGAAAGGTCCCACATTAGAATCTGCATGGCTTTTACAGGTTAGACTAGGTTTGTGCTTTTAGAATTAGGTCTCAGGATAAGGTATTAAGTCTTTTTTTCTTTGGACGCACTAATGGATAGGCGAGTTTTCTTTTAATCGAGGAGATACTGAAAGTATTATAGTGATGCCATTACTTTCTTTCTGTCTTTAATTGTATTTATTACCTTGTGTAATACAATGTATTTTCATGTAAAGACAAAAAAGGTCACTCTTTGGAATTTTGTATATCTGTCAATAAATATGACATTCATTGTGTATGAAGCACTTTTGTTTATTGTATTGCAGTATTGATATCCTTACATGAATTTACCACAGTAACAATATTTTCCAGCAGAAAATCAGACTTGTACAGTCATTAATACAGTCAAACTGGTAACCTGGTTTGATGAGCCATCAAAACCAAACACTAAATAAATACATTAAAAAAAAAGATTCTTATCTTTTTGAAGAAGCCATTTTTGGTTACACTTTACTTGAAGGGGTGTGCATAAGACTGACATGACACCTTCATAATCATGACATGACACATGAATATGAAGGAGGTTTTATGCATGTTTATGACAACTGTCATTAAGTGTCATTCGCTCAGTTATGTCATTTTTAATGCAAAGATGACATTGTTTGAGATGTCTTTGTTATGGGCTATGGTTAGGGGTAGGGGTAGGTTAGGGTTAGGTCAAACAATGTCATATTTGCATTAAAAATTACATAACTGAGCGAATGACACTTAATGACAGTTGTCATAAACATGCATAAAACCTCCTTCATATTCATGTGTCATGTCATGATTATGAAGGTGTCATGTCAGTCTTATGCACACCCCTTCAAGTAAAGTGTTACCCCATTTTTATTCTTTATGAAAATGTGATTACCATGTTAATTATTTAAGGCTATATTGTGTAATAATAGCTTTGCATGTTTTAAAATAATGCCAGAATATAGTACATAACCGCAAATGAACTAATTGACTTTTGTAAATTGCTTAATGCCTTGTGAACTCACTTTTAACCCCAAGTAAAAAAAAATAAGAAGAAATTATAAGATTTATATTTATAACAATTATAATTTTAAGAAGATTAAGCATGTTTTAGGTCCACGGGAAATGGTTTTACTAAATTCATCTTATTGTAATGTACGGTGTAATTTCAGAGTGTTTTTTAAAAATTATAATCATTCTCAAAAAGTGATTTTCACGAATGCAATAATGCAGTAATTTATTAATGCATTTAGTAATGTATTAGTGCAATACAAAATCATACATATTACTATATTGTTTAATGTTTTTTTTTTTTACGTTATGCTAATGGCATTTTTGTGTTAAAAAAATAATACTTATTACATTTGGTCCCCAAATCCTTAATTTATTTTAAGGAAAATATATCTTTCTTTTTTTTCGACATTTTCATCTTTCATTTAATTTCTTTTAATTTCTTTCTAAAACTGAAATTCAACCCAGGCATTTCCTTTTATTATTATTATTATTATTATTATTAACTTTTTTTATTCATGTTTTTTCCCCATGAAAATATCTTACAGGTGAAATTCACCGACTTCGCGCACACAAGCCGACTGCGGCGGGGTTACAGTAAAGAGAGCCAATCAGAACCCCTAGTGTGCTCTTAAACTGCGCAGAATCCCGAGAAGGAACCAATCACAGAGCCTTAAGTGACGTTGACTATTTGCGCTGGCCAATCAAGTGACGCCTTTCGAACTCATTCGACCAATGGCGTTTCGCGGCGCAGTGTGTCGTCGCTGGTTAGAACGCTAGAAGGTTGAGCGAGAAGCGGTCAGTGACAGATGAAGAGACAGAGAGAGCTCTCAAAATGGGAGAACAAGCGGGGTTAAAGAGTAACAAGTAAGTGACACGGTACTTGTGAGTTACTGTGCCGGTACATGTGTTTGGAGGCTCGCGGGATGCAGCTGCAGAGGTGATGCGCGGCTGCTCGAGCGAACAGGAAGTGAGTCTGTGTGTGTTTCGCTGCATGTCCATCTATGAGCTGCTTGGCATCTTTCAGAATAACTCCCAGCAGCTTTGTGTTGTTTATTGATCTGACGACTTAATGTGTGTGCTTCTGGCTTTGTCTGCTCTTGTAACTTGCTGTTCATCTCCATCCAAGTTCATAGCAATGAATGACATTTGTTGTGAGCAGTGTTGGGGAGTAACGAGTTAACGTTACATGTAACGGAATTAAGTAATCTAATTACAAAATAAATGCAACTGTAATCTGTTGCAGTTACTGAGAATTAAAAAATTTTTTTAAATTACAGTTACTTATGAACATGTTAAAGATTACAAAGATCACACACACATACAGATCTGGTTCATTTCTTTCCCAAATTGCACTGACTGCATTAAAATATGAGACTAATGTTTCAGGACACAGAATAGGATGCATGCTTATTTGATAACTGTTTCATTTATTATTTGGGTTTGTGTATATGCTTTATTGTTAGATGCCAGTGTGTGCTGTTACAGCTGTGCAAAGATTTGATTTCAAAAGTAGTATCATAACTATTCAACAATATCTTAATATTATTATTTTAAATCTGTATTTAACCTCCGAGCGATCTCGGAGTAAAAAGAGGTGATTAAGTCTGATTTTGTGGTGGCTGTGCTTTAACATTAATTAAATTATTATAATCTTAATTCAAGTGAAGAAGGGTTTTGACAGTCTGACAGTAATCGGTGTTGTTGAGCACTGCTTTAAATGCTTCAAAATGATTAACAGTTGAAAACATTAGATTGTAATGTAGAAAAGCAATCAAATGTAATCAGTTACATTACTTTAATAAAGTAACTTAAATAGTTGCACTACTTATTACATTTTAAATAGGGTAACTTGTAATCAATAACAACATAAAGACCGTATATTTTTTATATTTATTTAATGGCATCTTTTTTTTATGACTGAAGGCGAGTATCACTGATACAATACTACTGGTGTCTCTATGAAACAGTTTTTTTTCTTTCTAGTATTGAACCATTGACTATAGCCATTCAGCATTACAGTATAATTGAGAGCTATCAGTTTGAACATTTATTAGACTTTAAAAAAATAACAACTTCTAATTTGAGTGAACTTGAAACAATCTTCACATAAACCCATTATAATAAATGTCATATTTACCTGTGCCCTTCAGCAAGTAAGAAATATACAGAAATTGAATAAAGTTATCAAACACTAAATTCTAAATTAAATATAGATGAATCCTTACAGCTACAAAAGTTATTGATTTCCTTTTAGTATTTTTAATAATTACTTATGTTTTTTTTGCAATTGACTTATTTAATATGAGCTGAAAAATATATGCATAGGTAAAAAATTCTGAACGTAAATATTGATTTTATTTTCTTGGATAGGTGGCTTATTTGTTACAAATCTGGTTTGATAATTGAAATGTTGCAGGTTTGAGTCCTAGTTGCTTTGGATAAGTGTTTACTTTTATGAAATATTTGTTGGTTTGTTGTAGATCCTGTTACACTGTGTTGTCCTCTGCTTTTCTTCATTATTTTAAACAGCGCTCACTCTCGGTCTCTCGCCACGGCTGTTTAAGCATGTCCACAGATGACAGCATCTCTGAGGACGTTTCCAGCTCTGTGGCCTTGAGCCACGATCAGATCAGTGCCAATGGCGGGAAGGAGAGCGAGGCGTCCATCGTCTCCTCTGAGGACACCGTATCGGGACTCCCCGAAGAGGAGCGCTCCGCGTCCCGCCCCGAGGGCTTCCTTCAGACCACAGAAGGGGAAAACAGACCCTCCACCACACCAGCATGCAACATTACTAACAAAATAAGGTCAGTTTTCTCATGTGATATCTCATGTGTCTTCACAAAGAGGCTGTCAATAAGCTGCTTTAAAGGGGTCATATGATGCGATTTAAATTTTTCCTTTCTCTTTGGAGTGTTACAAGCTCTTGGTGCATGAAGAAGATCTGTAAAGTTGCAAAGACTGAAGTCTCAAATCCAAAGAGATATTCTTTATAAAAGTTAAGAGTCAGCCACGCCTACCTAAAACGGCTCGTTCTAACACGCCCCCACATGTCTACATCACTATGTGGGAAGATTTGCATAAAGCCGCCCAAATGTTCACGCAAAGAAAAAAGGCTTAATAACTTTTATTCTCGCTGTAGTATTGTTGCTCCCGCAGCCGCCATGTCGTGAAGGCACTGTGTGCTTCGTTGTGAAAGCGAAACTACTTTGTTTGGTCTTCCAAAAGAGGACGATATCTGCTTCGTCATGCCTGGAGCTGATCCGTGCTGGTCGCT